CCTTTATAAATCATCCCCTTTCCCTGACGGCTTCTCAGTAAAGTCAGTGCAGTTGCAGCCATGTAGAAAAGCATATTTCCTCCATGGGAGCTGATCAGTAATCCTTTCATCTCAGTGCTTCCTGTTGCTATCAGGAGGCAGCATCTCTGAATGTCACTCTTTATTTCTTCCACTGAGTGCAATCACAAGGTGCTGGCACAGGCCAGGCTGTCACTATAAATAATCCATACTCCTGGTACAGAAATAACACTTTATCTCAGGTCTTTTGAAAGCAGGAGCAGCGATGACAAAAGTCCTCCCCAGCTCAAACAGCATTCACCAATCAAAGCAAATAAACTGGTTTCACATCCAAAAGGAGAGAGATCAGGAATATCCAATATCAAATGATGCCAGAACAAACCGAGTTCATTGCAAGTGTGGAAAGTGTGTTTCTGAAGAGCAAAGAACCAGCAGATGGGTGAATCTGCACATCACTAAAGCTCTTTTTGGGTGTGATTTAAGCAAACTGGGGCAGTAGAGTTTCGATTTGGTTACTATAAGGTGTACTGTATTTGGTACTATAAGGTTACTGAAGACACAGAGAGGGTGGTTGTTGGTCTCTATTGCTAAGATGTAAAGATGGGTTAAATGAAGTCCCAAGAGAGTCAGAGCCAGAGCAGAAGCTGCTCAACATCTATCCCACCAGCTGGTGGTTTACACGGTGTCCTGGCAGGTTTGGGGACAACTCCATCAGAGAAGTACAATGAACTGTGATTAGACTGGAAAGTATTCTCCTGCTCAGTGAGGGAAAAGAAGAGCAGACACATTCGGTGTAGGAGCAGGTGTTGTGTCAGTTCAGCCTGGAGAAGAGAAGGCTCCTGAAGGGGACACCTTAGAGCAGCTCCAGGGCCTAAAGGGGCTCCAGGAAACCTGGAGAGGGGCTTTGGACAAGGGATGGAGGGACAGGCCAAGGGGAATGGCTTGAACCTGCCAGAGGGGAGACTGAGATGAGCTCTGAGGCAGAAGCTCTTCCCTGTGAGGGTGCTGAGGCGCTGGCACAGGGTGCCCAGAGAAGCTGTGGCTGCCCCATCCCTGGCAGTGTTCAAGGCCAGGTTGGACACAGGGGCTTGGAGCAACCTGCTCTAGTGGAAGGTGTCCCTGCCCAGGGCAGGGGTTGGGGCTGGAGGAGCTTTAAGGTCCCTTCAACCCAAACCAGTCTGTGGTGCTATGTTCGGCTCACTCCCAGCATTTAACACAACCTGTTGTGCTCAGGAACGTGCAACATCAACACGAGCAGATCATGAGTCCTTACTTCAATAGTGTGGATTTTACGACTCCCGTTTGCGAGTTCTCCCTCCGTGTGCAGATGATCCTTGTGCTCTTCAGACACTTGGCACAGGCGACGGGAGCTGCCTTCCAGCGCCCGTCGGAAAACGAGGTGTTGGAATGTTGTGGAGTTCTTCAGGGGCTCGATCTCGTACCTCAGGTCTCCCATTTGCAGAACTCCACTGTGGGGTTTCAAACAGAGGGAGCAGAGAGAGAGGTGAGCTCCAGGAGCCACCCTGAGGTTCAAAGCTGTTTGGATCAGCCCATATTTTATGTTGGTTTTCTTTGGAAAGAAGGGTATGGAAAGATTTCTCTCTTTCATATCACTGCTCCTATGGGCAGGGATCCTCTGAGAACATACAAGGAGCTCACCTAAAGGATGTTTTATGAGACAAAAGGGTCATAGGGCCCAAGGTTTAGGATGCATAAGACAGCCTTGAGAGAGCTATTGTGCAGCTTTGGGAACGATTTAAGAAGCTGCTGCTGAATGCTATGTATTAACTGAAAGTGAGAAGGCAATAAAAGCTCTCCCAAGGAGAATCCACCTTTAAGAGGTGTTTATCCCCACATGGACACTGTTATAGGCTGCATCTCCTAATAAGTGCATCCTAAAAACCCTGACTTCATTTGGGCACCTTTTTGGGGGTGGTGTTTGAGAAAGAAGGTGCAGGTAGGTCTGTCAAAGCTCAGTCTCATGCCTGGTCTTAGAAGAGAAGCTCGCTGGGTCTTAATTTTGCCAGAGTTTGAGTTATACAGCCCTAAAATGTTCCTAATTACTGGGGTGTGTATCCCAATAGGAAAACGCGGCCTCATCAAACAGTGAGCTGGAATCCCAGAAGGTTTTCCTAAGGAAACAGTGCCTTAAAATCTCTATTTTAGAGATGCTCTAAAACCTGTAATGCTAAAAGATGTCTCAGCTCTGTTTGGAGAGTTGAATGTTAGTAGCGAGATGCACCATGGAGTGAGGGCTCCTGCTTTAAAAGGGAAATACAAATCCCCATCCCAGTTAACCATGTGCTTCTGGGCAATCTGGTCTGGTTGAAGATGTCCCTGCTCATTCCAGGGGACTGGATGAGATGAGCTTTGAAGGTCCCTTCCAACCCAAACCATTCTATGTTTCTACGCTTAATTTGGAGCTGACCCCACATTCTCCCTTGGGAAGAGCCTTACCTCATCCCAAAGCACGTGCTGAGGGAGACGATGGATCCCGGGAAGCCTTCCACAATCCCCTCGTAGTAGCAGTTGTCCTGAAAGGTGCAAATGTGGCTTCAGTCTGTGGGAAAACCTCCTGTGCCCAGGTCAAAAAGGCCCCTCCAGCAGTAAAGGGACACCAAACCCTCCCCAGATCCATCCTTGACCTCTTTGAAGGGGTAGTTCATGTGCACAAATAAAGAGTGAAGGCACAGAAGGGAAAAGGCAGGAGCCTGAGAGCTCATCATTTGGGTTCAAACTGAAGCAGGGGAGACTGAGATGAGCTCTGAGGCAGAAGCTCTTCCTTGTGAGGGTGCTGAGGTGCTGGCACAGGGTGCCCAGAGAAGCTGTGGCTGCCGCATCCCTGGCAGTGTTCAAGGCCAGGTTGGACACAGGGGCTTGGAGCAACCTGCTCTAGTGGAAGGTGTCCCTGCCCGGGGCAGGGGTTGGGGCTGGAGGAGCTTGAAGATCCCTTCAACCCAAACCATTCATGATTTGGTGATTCTATGATCATTGCATAATGATGATTTTTGGGGGGTTATTTTGTGATTTCTCTCAAAATGGAGATGGACTTTTGATGGACTCAAAGTACTTTAAAATCTTTAATAATCTGGGAGGGAAATCAATGTGCTGACATCTCTGAAATGGTTCTTCCCCTTTTTATCAGTCTCTCTACAATTTCCTTCCCTTTTTTAAACAAACTGTGTAAAAATAACCCGTGTTTTTACAAACAAAAATCCTCCCCTTGCTTAGATCCATGGATATATTCAAATGAGCTGAGGAGGAGGAGAAGGGTCATTTAGTCTTGGCTGTTGATGCAACCCTGACCTAAACTTACCTGAATATATGGAAACTCAGTGATCAGGTCTCCCTCCTCACTGTACTTGAACACTGGGATGTCCCTGGCTATCAAATTCCTGAAAAGCAAAGGAGAAACATTCCCTGTCATGCCCCAGTGCAGCAAATCACGGAGGAAGGAGAGCTCATGGGGAAGAGCCTTACTTTGCCTGTGTCAGATGGACAACGTGGTGGTTTCCTTCTGCTGTTATCAGATAGGACCTGCGCCCCTGGAATGGCCAAAGCACCCGTGAATTCCAGATATTAATCCAAGAGTGGAACCACTCTTCACAACCGGATTTTTTGTTGATAGGACAAGGGGTGATGGGTTCACATGGAAACAGGGGAAGTTCAGGTTGGATCTAAGGCAGAAGCTCTTCCCTGTGAGGGTGCTGAGGCGCTGGCACAGGGTGCCCAGAGAAGCTGTGGCTGCCCCATCCCTGGCAGTGTTCAAGGCCAGGTTGGACACAGGGGCTTGGAGCAACCTGCTCTAGTGGAAGGTGTCCCTGCCCGGGGCAGGGGTTGGAGCTGGAGGAGCTTTAAGGTCCCTTCATCCCAAACCAGGCTGGGATTCCATGATTTTGGTTGGGAAGCTGGAGCCATCTCCTCGCCCTGTTCTCCCTTTCGCACCCACCCGCAGCCCCTGTGGAGTCCCTGCTCTAGAGCCATGGTTGGAAAAGCCAGTGACCTTTGGGAAGGTGCCATCCTTGGCCTCCAGCCGCCGGGGCACTGTCACTTCGGAGTAGACGATCCTCGATGCCTCCGTGGAGCGTGAGGCGGGTTCTGCGTTGGGGTGAAGGCATTGATCACCCCGAGCAGTGGAGGTTTGCCCAGGCAGGAGGAGGGAGTTAAGTGGCAGCTTTGCAAGGTTGGGTCTGGTTAAGTTTTGCGTGTCCTCGTGTCCTCAGTGAGAGGATGCAGGAGGTGGTTGAGCAGCTCTTTGCTGTCACCACTGGCTCCCAAGGAAGCTTAGGATACAAACCCACTGAGGAGTACCAGAAACTCCAGAGAACATGTTATAAAAGAGGGGAAAATGGGATGACTTCTGTGGTTACAGGGTGCTGAGCCCCTGTTCAACCTGCGTGCTTGTATCCATCCTGCATCCCCTGTCCATGTCCCCCATCGT